TCCACTTATGAGTGAACTTCGTAATTCTGAAATCTACTTATGTGAATACTCCTGTTGGGAGATTTGATGGAGATAGCTATGTCTATCATTATGTATTGTGATTTTGTTAAACGGAAAATTATTCAAAAGAAGAAAATGGAATGTTCCAATTTGGCACGATGTTCATATTACTTGTGGTACAGAGTTAAGGATGAGATCCTTGTATTTTATACAATGTGAAATATTTAAACCGGGCTACAAGTTGCGGTAGATGTTATATAAGGACGAGGTCCTTGTGGTGAAAGAAAAAAATAAATTGTGTTTAAATACTCCCTTTGTGAAATTAAAATTTGTACTATAGTACTTATAAGGATTCATGCCTATTAGACTGAAAAAAATCTTGTATGAATATCTTTGTGCATAATTTGCCAGATTTGTATCGTAATTATTGAGTTTTAGACTACGAGGCGAGTGCCCGGGGATATAAATTGTTACTCGTTAATTCGGGTAAGTAACTATGAGATCTTCATGCCTCGTTGTTAGTAAACTGGAGGTTTGAAATGAGATTTTGTTAATATGAGGTTAATTAGCGATGTTGTAATCTTTTATGAACAACTATTAAGACCAGAGATATGGTTATGGTCATATATATGATGTGTTTCATGTCAAGATATCATTATGATAATGTCGTGCTTGTAATGCGGAGATTAGTGTTATTAATATATACTTTGTGGTGCTTTGTTGGGTTGTGGACATGTTGTTTTGGTGTTACTCTGACAGGTGGATAGGCCCAATTACAGGGGAGACTCTGTCGAAATTTCTGAAAAATTTGGGAGTTAGAAAAATTTGGGATATTGAGATGTGCAAAGAAAGAGATAAGTTACATTATGTGTTTGAGGACAGACTCTACTTCTCATTTGAGGAAAAATGAACCTAAGTGGGGGAGAATGTAACACCCCGTATTTGATGGGTGTGTAGGTACGAGTTGCTATAGCCAGTCGAGACTAATATCGTGTGTTGATGTGAAAATCGGACCTTTCTGGAAATGATTGGAGTGTAAGAAATTTGGTCTTAAAGTTTACAAATATGGATAAAGGAAATAATCTAAATTGAAATGGTGTTGTCGTACTTATGTCGAATGCGGTAATGTGGGATCAATTACGAATATTTGTGTAGAAGTAAAATTATCAATATGGTAACCTAAGAATAATTCTTAGTACGTTCGAGGACGAACATTTGTTTTAGAGGTGGAGAATGTGATGACCCAAAATGTAATCCTTAAATTAAATAATTATCTCAGTATTTTAAGACCTTGAAAAAGTGGTATCAGTAATTCCTTAACTTGCGTGCCCAGTCTGTATAATTTTCCGAAATGTTTTATGTGAAAAATGGATTAGATTGTGAACTAGAGCTTTACAACTCAACTGAGATGACTTCGGTCAACATTTTGAGCAAACGAACCCGGATAAAAGTTTCGACCATTTCGGCAGTTCCGTATCATGATTTGGGACTTGGTCATATACCCGAAATTGAATTCGGGGGTCCCTAGATCAAATTATCACCATTTAACGAAATCTAGAAATCTAAGGCTAAAGATTTCTTAAGTTTGACCGGAGATTTGACTTTTGAGAAAAAGACCCCGAAATGGAATTTTGATAATTCCAATATCGTATGGTGATTTAGGACTTAGTCACATGTTCGAATTTGGATTTGGAAGTCTGTAGGATAATTCAGCGCATTTTGGTGAAAGTTGGAAAATAGAAGATTTTTTGGAAAGTTTGACCGAGGGTTGACTTTTTGATATCGGGGTCAGAATCCAGTTCTGAAAATTTTCATAGCTTCGTTATATCATTTATGACTTGTGTGCAAAATTTGAAGTCAATCGGATTTGATTTGATAGGGTTTTTATCGAATATAGAAGTTGGGCGTTCCTAGTTTCATTAGGCTTGAATTGGGCTGTGATTCGCGGTTTTAGCGTTATTTAATTTGATTTGAGATTTCGACTAAGTTCGTATGATGTTTTAGGACTTGTTGATGCATTTGTCGAGGTCCCGAGGGCCTCGGGTGGATTTCGGAAGGTTAACGGATACAAAAAAAAAGTTGGTGAATTTTTCTCTTTGGATAGTTGCTGATTTTTTCTACAGCATGTGAACAGTCAAGTGAACAGTACCATGAACAATGTTGTGAACAAGGTCTGTGAACAGTATCCATGAACAGTGTGTGAATAGTCCCGTGAATAGTACCCATGAACAGTGTCTGTGAACAGTACCGCGAACAATAGCGCGTGAACAGTAACCGCGAAAAATCTGGATAGAATGTTAAGTTTCGTCCCATTTTCCATTTTTAACAAATTGGAGCTCGGGGAGAGGCGATTTTCGAGAGATTTTCAGAGAAAACAACGGGGTAAGTGTTCATAACTTAATTTTGGTTAGATTACCCGAATCTATTACTAGTTTTGGCATTAAATCTGTGAATTTAGTTGGAAGAGTTTGAAAACCCTCTCGGATATATTTGAGGATTTGAGGGTCAAAATATTATCGAAATTTAGTAATTTTGGTATGGTTTGACTTGGGGTTGGATGAGATTTCATATTTCGCAACTTTCGTCGAATTCCGAAACGTGGGCGCCATGGGCGAATTTTTAGTACAATTTCAGATTTTTAATGAAAAATGTAGAATTCCATGTGGATTTAATTCCTATAATTTTTATTCACTGAATCGAATTATTGTGGCTAGATTTGAGGCATTTGGAGGTCGATTTGAGAGGAAAAGGCATTGCGGAGTAGGATTTTGCGCGAATTTAGGTAAGTAACGGTGATAAATCTGGTCCTGAGGGTATGAAACCCCGGACATTGTGTTGTAAGACTATTTTGAAGGTGACGCACATGCTAGGTGACGGGCATATGGGCGTGCACCGTAGGGATTGTGACTTGGTCCGTCCCGTGAGATTGTGGAATAAATTGGCCTATTGTTTAATACATGTTCCCACTGTTTTCGTAGAAATTGAATGTACTTCATGTTAGAAATCATGTTTAGGCCTTTTGTGATCACTGTTGAGACCTGAAAGGTCGTGTACTTGCTGAATTAGCTTCTAAATTACTGTTTGTACTCAGTCATAGCTTTTCTTGCTTATTACGCCTTTGTCACTTATTGTTTATTGTTGATACATGATATTACTTCTGTTTGGGCTGTTTATATGATTTTTGAGTGTCCGAGAGACTAGAGAGATTGATGATTGAGTAAGGTCGAGGGCCTAGTTGGAGATATTGATACTATAGCACGTGAGTTGTCCGTGCAGCACGTGAGTTGCCCGTGCAGATCTAGATATTGATACTATAGCACGTGAGTTGTCCGTGCGGATCCAGATATTGATACTATAGAACGTGAGTTGTCCGTGCGGATCCAGATATTGATACTATAGCACGTGATTTGTCTGTGTAGCACGTGAGTTGTCCGTGCGGATCCAGATATTATATTATAGCACGTGAGTTGTCCGTGCAGCACGTGAGTTGTCTGTGCATATTATAGCGCTTGGGCTGAAGGAACTCCTCCAGGAGTCTGCACACCCCCAGTGAGCGCATGTATATGATAGCATGTGAGTTGTCCATGCAACACGTGAGTTGTCCGTGCAGTTTATAGCACTTGGGCTGAAAGGAGCCCCTCCGGAGTCTGCACACCCCCAGTGAGCGCAAGTACCTATTGAGTATGATTATTGAGGGTTGAGAGCCGAGTGAATAAGCCGTTGAGATAAGCTGAGTGACTGTTGCCTTGAGAGGCCATATTTGTTTTTAGTTAATTGCTACACTTAATTGCTATTTGTCCCTGTCGTACATATTTCTGGAATATTTGATATCTGGTTTATTTGAGTACGCAATGATGAGACTTAAACTGTTAAATTGAAAGTATGACTACTCTTATTTGAAAGTTATTGAGATAACTGTATTTGCATAGCTCGTCACTACTTCTCAGTTCCTTATTTATTTCTGTTACTTACTGAGTTGGTGTACTCACGTTACCCCCTGTACCTCGTGTACAGATCTAGACACTTATGGTCACCGTGGTTGTTGATTGAGGAGTCAGACTCAGGAGACTATTGAGGTAGCTGCATGGCGTTCGCTGACCTTGACTCTCCTTTCCTTTCATATTGTACTGTTCTATATTTCAGACAGTGTTTTATCAGTCGAATGTTGTTATCATTTGGATGCTCATGCACTCAGTGACACCGAATTTTGGGGATGGATTGTTTAGCACTTTTGAAGTTATATTTTGTTCTAAAAGGTTTTATTTAATATTAATTGCTTCCACATTTATTTAAAAGTTCTTCTGTGTTAAAATGTTGAGTTGAGGCTTGCCTAGTACCATGATAGGCGCCATCACGATAGGTGAGATTTTGGGTCGTGACAAAACATTAAGTCATTCAACATTGACAATTTGAACTGTAACAAAATGAGTAGACAGAAAATCTTTGTAACTAATTACAACAATGTATTTGTGAATATTTGCACGTCCTTAAAACTAAACAAATCTAGAATCGTGCTTCCACCCATTTGATATTTTATTGAATTGAAACAACAAGATATCTGAGGTAGTCAATTGTCAACCTATATTTTCATAAACTGAGAAATAAATTAGCAGGTCATTGAAAGTCAAAAGAAGATTGCATAATCTACATGCAAGAATGATTTAACAAAATGAATTAATATAGTGCAACTATTTTTACGAGTATTCTTATCCTTATAGGACTACCAATTGAAGAATTTCACAAGTTATCTGCCATCAATTAACAAAATCCCTTAGTAAAAATACATAATTTTTTAAGAAAGATGTTGTTTGTCCATCAAATCTACAAGGACCTTAGAGTAAGTTGCCACACTCTGGACTTTCTCACAGCAACTCCATATTATACACACAAAGGACAATACATGTGTGCAACCTTATTCTTCACCTAATCAACCAGCATAGACATTTGTAAATTCTAAATATGTTCAACTAATTGCATAATTTTCATAGGGGCAGAAACAATTAGCAAAGTAAATAGCACCCTATATTTTGATATAGCAGACTTATCATTATAGCATTTCTCCTTCGAAAGACAAAAGTTAATTATCACACTATACTAACTAAATAGACCCTTAGTATCTAAAGCTAATGATACAAATGAATACAAAGTTTACTTACGAGCATTCTCCTTCCGCACAGGATAATATTTCCATGCATATCTGATGAATGCTTAATAGGATCTTGCAACTAACTATTTTTCGAACTGTACAATTACAAATACTTGGTAGCATATAGGTCCAAAGCCAACACATCTCTAAGTTGTACTTTTTGTAGTGCAACAGAAACCATGAGAGAAACATAAGACATTTAAGGGAAGAACTAGAAGTGATATCTTGATAATTAACTTGAAGGTAGCCTTGAGTGTTTGAAAAATCCTTTGTTGCTGATCTGCAGCTCATGAAATCAGGCAAGAATTGAGAAAACCACATCAATTTAGTTCATATTTGGAAATGAATAAATAATAGAGAAGGTCATTGTGTTTAAGATGCTCTATTATGCATTTTGTCAAACAGTCAGAGGGCATAATTTGTGAATGTAATATCACCATTAGTATATTGTGTAATAGTAACATTCCCATACAACTTCCACTCACACAAATCTATCTCCAAATCACCACATGATTACAACCACAAAATAAAATCACAACATAGATTAAGCTTCAAAACCCTAAACTCTCAATTACTCTGCTACGAATACATATGACACAAGTAATGTAATAAATAAATATGATTGAATTCCTATTAGAAATCAAAACACTCAGCAGAAAGAAGAAAGAATTCAAATCTATTCAAGAGAGAAAAAAATTCTAACCTGGAGTTATTCCAATTCACAGTAGAGGAAGAGAAGGATTAAGGGAGAAGAGAGTACATTTCATACTACTATTCCTGAAAGTTTTTGAGATTTATAGTTGGGACAGAGGAATTCGGATGGGATAGCAAAATTGGGGATGCGAAATGAACTTGAATTGTTCTAAGAGAAGCTGCGAAAATAGGTTTTCTTTTTAGGGATTTGAGAGGAGATTTGGGTGGGATGTCTTTGATAATTTTTCTTTCTTTTGAAATTAGTATTTTCTTTTTTTTGGCATGTGCTATACATATCACTAATTAAATGCCGATTTCTTCTTAATTATGTGATATTTTAAATCAATTTTCTATCATTTTTCATCAAATGTTAGTATTTTTGCACATTTTTTCTAACAAATGTCACTAAATGAACCTTTTTTGATATTTATTATAAATATCATTAATTAAATATCATCATAGTTCATATCTCCTGTAGTGGATCCAGTTATGAACGGTCTCCAAGGTGATATAAGTATATTTTTTTCTTATGTTAGAAACCTACATTGGGGAGATAAACCCACTATTACTATGCTGTAGAATATTTTTGAGATGAAAAACTTGAGATCTCAGCATTAAACTCAAATAAGGTCTCATTAATAGTGTTGTTAGCGAAGAATAAGATGTTTATATATGTGATTTGGCTTTATTTTCTTCTTAGTGAGAGTGTTTTTTTTAATAGGGTGGCAAATATGTGTTTTGATGCATTAGACGTTTTAGGTATCTTTAGTCGCTATGCTTGATTTGTCGGCTTCATTCAGTTTTTTGAAAAGAAGATAAAATAATTTGAAAAGACCAATTTTGTATGATGATGGTTGATTTATCAACAATGTGCTTTCAAGTCCTTCATTTGATTGAAATTTAAATAAAATAGCATAAAACATTAAAAAAATATATAAAATACATTAGAAGTTTAAGAAAATTAAAGAATATTAAAAAAAACTCATAGAAAACAAGTATATAATAAATTTTTACAATATAAACAATGCAACAATGTTAAAATGATTTTGGGATATAAATCAACTATAACGTCTTAACTTTCAAAAAATAATTATTTAAATAAATATTATCAAACTACATATTTTACCTCCCTATAAGTAAATAATCAATAAACTTTATTGGTATTATAATTTAAAATATTACTCTTTCATGCAAAAAAAATCTTTTAAAAAAATAAAAAATAAAAGTTTGATAGTTACAAGAGGCATAGAACAAACACATGAAGATGAATAACAAATGAAGATATAAACTTTGGCTACCTATTGTAACGACCCAGCCGGTCATTTCACGAGTTATAGCCATGTTTCCCCCATTTCTGCTCCCTTATGTGTTTCTCAACTATATTTCATCGTATCGTGTTAGTTGGTTCGGGTCCGGAGTGGTTTCGGTGTGGAATGAGACACTTATCTCCTATTTAGAAGCTTAAGTTGGAAAAGTCAACCGGATGTTGACTTATGAGTAAATGGTCTCGGATTTGAATTCTGATGGTTTGGTTAGGTCCGTTAGGTGATTTTAGACTTGGGAGCGCATCCGGAATGTGTTTTGAAGGGTCGTGGTAGAATTAGGCTTGAATTGACGAAATTGGAAATTTGGCGATTTTTGATCAGCAATGAAAATTTTGACATCGGGGTCGGAATGGAATATCAGAAGTTGGAATAGGTTCGTAGTATCATTTGTGACGTGTGTGCAAAATTATAGGTCATTTGGACGAGGTTTGGTAAGTTTCGGTATCGTTTGCAGAATTTGGAAGTTTAGAAGTTCTTAAGCTTGAATCCGAGGGTAATTTGGTGTTTTGATATTGTTTTGAGTGTTCTGAAGGTTCAACTAAGTTTGTATGTTGATATGTGACTTATTAGTATTTTTGGTTGAGGTCCTGAGGGCCTCGGGATGAATTCAGATGGTTAACGGAGAGTTGGGAAGTGGAATAGGCAGTTGAAGCTGCTGCTTTTGATGTTTCCGCACCTACGGAGTGGAAACCGCAGTTGCGATAATCGCAGGTGCGGAAGGTGAACCGTAGATACGGAATCTTGGAGAGCTAAGGCAGGAGCCTTAGGTGCGGATAGTGGAGCGCACCTACGAGACCGTAGGTGCAGTGTTGTGATGTAAAAAAAGAATCTATATTAAATTTGGCCAAGATCATGTTTTAGAGCTCAAGTCCAAATAGATGGACTTAATTTCAAGAAGCGCAAGAAGTCCAAGAAGCTCAAGATTGATTTCAAGAAGCCAAAATTCTTTCCTTCTTAAAATAAGATTTATTTTATTCCTTTTAGAACAAGGATTTTCCTTTTAGTAGGAATCTAGTTTCTTTTCCTTGTAGAATAGGAATTTTACTTTCCTTGTCTTTAGTTATTTTATTTACTTATTAGAATAGGAATTGTAGTCATCAAAGAAGAGAATCTAGTCCTATATAAAGGGTTCTCATGCCTTTGTAGAGGAGAATTCACGTATTTGGAGGTTTGCCCTAATTTGCAATAGAGTGTTTCTCTTTATTTTGTCTTCTTTATCCTTGTTTTTGGTTCTAAGCAAGGTGGTGATAGTCTTTATCTAGTTTTCAATTGCGTGTGATATTTCTTTATTACGTTAATTAGTTCCAAGTGGTGACTTTAGGAACTTGTTTAGTTCTTGATCTTTCAAGAACACATTTCTTGATCTAAATTCGTTCTTTTGATATTATAGAGTCATAACTTTCATTGAACTGGTGCAATATCGTTATTTACTTGTTTTGAACGAGTACATAGTCTTTCTTATAGTTTAGATCATCATCTTTTACCTCGCAGTCTTTCTTATAGTTTAGATCATCATCTTTTACCTCGCTTTTGAATCATCAAATTCCGAGTCCTAAATCTTGAGATACATTGTTTCTTGAAATCAGCCAACAAACCACGTTTTTGTTTCAAGATCTTGATCCTGGTTGGTTGGTTCTTTGTTAACTCGAAGAATCACATCATGCTGTGACCGCAGAAGCGGTTTTTGAAGGGTTAAGTGGGAACCACACCTGCGATGGATATTTCGCAGGTGCGGCGTCGCAGAAGCCACAGTTGGACCGCAGATGTGGAAGTTCTGGACAGAAAGTATAAATTGTCGACTTCACAAATTTTGGGTCATTCTTCACTATCTTTATTCGGGTTTGGAGCTTTTGGGAGTGAATTGAAGAGGGATTCAAGGGAATTTTTACTTGATCCCTAATACTCGTATTTATGGTAAATTTCCATTGTTTAATCATATAATTAGTAAAGATTAGGGGTGAAAATGAAGGGTTATGGCTTGAGATTTTTGGAGAGTTTGATGAAGGATTTGAGGGGCCAAATGAAGTCGGATTTTGATAAATCTTGTGTGTATGAACTCGTGAGTGAAAGTGCCTTCTAGTTTTGTGATTTTTATTGGATTTCGAAACATGGGCCCAGGGGCCGGGTTTGGGTGAATTTTGGGATTTGTGTTCGATTAAGTAAATTATCATGTGGAATTGGTTCCTTGGCCTTTATTGATTGCATTGTATTGATTTTGGCTAGATTCGAGACGTTTGGAGGTCGATTCGAGAGGCAAGGGCATCACGGAGTAGGAGTTTGGCTTGGTTTGAGATAGGGGTGGGCATCGGTCGGTTCGGTTCGGTTTTGAACATTATCGGTTTTGCCTATCGGTTATCGGTTTACAAATATCATAACCCGATAACCAAACCGATAAGATATTAGTTATCGGTTATCGGTTAATCGGTTATATATCGTTATCAGTTCGGTTATCGGTTTACCCGATAACATAAAACAACTAAAAAATTTTGCAATATATAAAACAAAGAAACCAAACTGCCAGAACGTGTAAACTGCCAACTTTTGTTGTTTCGTAACAAAAACACGCTCCCACTACTGTGCAGTATCTACTGATATCTAGCGGAGAACTGGTGGTGAGTCTTGCGTCTTGACTCTTGGGGGCTGCGACGGAAACAAGAATGAGAACTGAGAGACAAACGACTGAAGACTGAAGAGTGAAGAAGGAATTAGAAAAATAAATAAACCTAGTATATACTTAAGGGTAAATTAGTAAATTATATCATTCTTATTGGGTTATCGGTTTTTACCCAATAACAAAAATGCAAACCAAGCCCGAACCGATAACCCAATATAAAAAAAATTTAACCCGTTACCGAACCGTTAACCCAATAAAGAATTAACAGTTCGGGTTATCGGTTTTACCCGATATATGCCCACCCCTAGTTTGAGATAAATAATGCTTCCAAACTTGGTTCTGAGTGTTCGAAACACCAAACTATGTGTTATGTAATTAGTGCTGAGGTGACGCATATGCTAAGTGACGGGCGTGCGAACGTGCACCATGAGAATTGTGGCTTGGTTCATTCCATGGCACTGCTTAGTGACTCTTTCTTGCTGATATCCATGTTTATATCATGTGATTAAGTAAATGAGCTGTAAATCATGCTAGATATCATGTTAGGAATTCACACCGATACTGTAGAGATCCGAGTGGTCATTTCTTGCTGTCATCTCATTAGTTTCATTGATACTCTGTACTCAGTCTTATTCATGCGTATCATACCATGTCTCAGTCTCAGTTGTTATTATTTGTCACGTCATATCATTTTTTCGGGCTAGTTCTCATGGCACTGTGAACCCATGGGTAAGACTGGAGAGTGATGACTGAGTGAGACCGAAAGCCTTATTATGAGTGACAGTCATGGGATTGGGATGCATGCTACAACGGTTATGTTGATGATTATGATAGAGCTTGGACTGTATGAGCCCTTCCGGAGTCTGTAACACACCCCAATGAGCGTAGTTGATATTATTGAGGGATGGATCTTCCCTGTACATAGATCTTATCCGAAGTATTTATACCTGGAGATGGATCTTCTCCATAGGGCTGAAATGGCCTTCCTCAGTACTGAGAGACTGTTGTTAGTGATGTGTATATATTCCGAAATGGATCTTTCCTGGGACGGATGACCATATACAATACCGAGTGGTTGAGCACTTGAGAGTGGAGGTACATGGTACATTTTCATACATTCTGTGCATTGGCACGTAGAGATTAGTTGAGCTTTATACTTAACATTGTTCAGATTTGTATTTACTTTATTGCTTTAGCTGAATACTTGAATTGCAAGCATGCCTACTTTACTGCACAGTTAAATTTTGTTTACCTGTTGAGGTTTGGTTCGTCACTACCTATCAGTCCATAGTTTAGACTTGTTACTTACTGAGTTGGTGTACCCACATTACCCCC